AAAATGGAACAATTTGAGCTAGTTTAATGTGTTTAATAAAAGCTATTAGGGATTGTGCCTGTCAGTTTGCTTTCACTTAAGCTGATCTTCTATTTTAAAATAAAACCACATTAACAATCTGCAAAATTCACAAGATTTGCTAAAAAGAAGGCAATGTCCTACCATATGCCTTTTCTTTGGAAGGAATCATGATATGAATAAAATAAAAATATTTATGTGGGTTACAAAAACAACAGTGTAGATACCATGTCTCTTCATGTTAGCCTACCCTGTGCTGTAAGATGTATTTTTAAATTGTTTTCTTCATTTTTCCTTTTATTTGGCCTGCTTTTCTCTGCAGAGGCTGTTGTTTTCCTACCTTTAGTACATGTGAAACTTTGCTACTGCTAAAAAAACCCAAACAAACTATAAACTTGATTACATTTTCTGTTTTAAATTTAAATTTAAATTTTTAATTTTATTTTTTAAATAACTTTATTGCAAAACAAATAGCAATGAGATAGTTTCAAAACTGATTGCTAGCACAGTTTCAATAATTAATACATTGCATATTGTTGTCTTAGTGGTTATTCATTGTACAAGATACAGATATGATATCCTGTCCACAAACACTATTATAACAAATCTTTCTATTCATTAAATTAAGAGAAAGTAACTGTATATCTATCCTAACTATTTTGAATATACAGATACAAAATGGATGTTCATTTGTATCCCCTTTTCTTGTTTAGTTTTTTTAGAGAAAGGTATCCCATTGCCATTTAAATACTGTAGGTGCGTGAATTCAACAAAATACTCCAATATAGTCCAGCAGTCCATAATAATAGTGGGTTTTCTGTAGGACTGGCAATGGCATTTTCTGAATATTTTCATTTGCCCATTGCAAAAATTAATCTCAAGTTTCTTGTAGTATTTATTTTATGCAAAAATTAGATAAAAATGTTAAATTTATAATGCTGCCGAGAAATCTTTATTTATATGATCTTTTCACAGCACGTTATATCTGAATAGAGTTAGTGTGTTATCTTGTTAGTGTGAGTCTCTGTTATGACTTGTTTTTGTTACAAGATTAGTTTTGTCTTCTGTTTTTGCTTGTCTATTATCTGGTTGACAGTAGCCTAGAAAGTTCCATCTATTAATTCATTTAATCTGTACGAGTACTAATACATGTCTGAAAATTTAAATAAAAACAGTTTATTTTAGAATATTTCCTCCAGCTTTTTCATACCTTAAAAACTTAATTATTATAATAATCCAGATTATTTTAAATATTTAAGTCATTAAATATTTAATGATTTTTCTAAAACTGTGTCTATGTTTTTTAAGAATATGATTTTAATGTTTCATATTATAGCATGCATTAAATTTCACTTGGGACTTGATATATAGGAAATTTACTTGGATTTATAAAAGAGAGACTTGTGAAAGTTAAATTAATATCAGTAAGTTTCATTTGCATATTGATTGTTTAAGTCAACAAAAACTCTTATGGAGTGATCGCTGTACCTATTCTCAACTGTGTACTATAATTCAGGCTTCGCCGAAACAGTACTGTCTTGATGGCACTTTTCTGCTATTTTACCACTATGATTCTGCTACTATAATCAAGTACTGCAATCTAGTTGTCATTTTTTTTTATTTTTATTTTAGGGAAGGGTTTACAGGGTGCTCAGGGTCTCACTACTAGATCAGACTCGTAGTGATCCGCCTGTTTACAGCCTCCCAAGAGCTGAGATTACAGGATTGCACCACCACACCAGTCTCCATAGCCATCTCAGTGTGCCCTGGGTGCAGGGCCAGCATGGCAGGCTGAGCAATCGATCCCTGGCCCCTGCGCCTGCTTGCAGGCACTTTAATCCACTGAGCTATTGCAATCTACTTATCAGAGTTGACACAGAATCCAGATGTATGGGTATAATCCCCAACAAGACTGTCCTCACTTCTAATACTGGCTATGGGTTTAGAGGTTTCCAGGCCACCCATATGTCTGCCAAGTGGTTTTGAATTCAAGGTTCCCATCACCTCCTCAGATTTGAACATTTGCTAGTGTAACTGACAGAACTCACCATTGTACTCTACTTATCATTAAGCCTTTTAAAGCTTTCATATAGAGGATACAGTGTCTACCTCAAGAGGTTAGGAAGGACAAAGGATATCATATCCTAACAATTACATACTAAATCTATTGAAGAAGATGGTATACTATCGTATCTAGTATAGGACTTTGGGGGTATCAGGCTTTTATTCTGTCCTTGCTACCAAGCAGAAGGAATCATTCATAAAGCTTCTCTACTTTATTTTCTTTCCTTTTGGGGCTGAAGGCTCCAAAGACAAGGCAGACCCAGGCTTTTAGAATGCATATACACATATAGGCTTCAAAGCTTTGGGCCTAGAGGGTCTCACCAGTGCAGTCTCTCCTACCCAAAAACGAGGACAGAGTTCAGTTAATATTGAACTGCAATGAGCTAACAACTCTGGATTTTCTGACTCAAGTTTCAAATACATGCAGTATGAGTTCTAGATCCTTTGGGTTTACTGAGCTTCAGAAAAATATCATTGTTTGCAAGAGTAAAATTGAAGAGCAAGAGTATAACATTACAGTATTGGAAAAGTGATGTCCACACAAAGTGTCTTCCAGTCGGAGGTGATTTAATATGAGCACTGCCTCAAAGGCAGCAAGTGTAAGTTGGGCCTCAGCTACACCATTGGTGGATTCGGCACTATTTTATGCCAATCAGCTTAGATTCCCCTGTATGAATAGTATATCTTCCAAATACCAAGACCTCCGCAAATAAGAGCTCTCTGGACTTTATAATACTAACCTGTTAGGGAGACGTAGCTCAGTTATCTAAAGTGGTTTCCATCTGTTATAAAGCCAAACACCTGTCTCTTCAACATAAGGCATTTTTTGCTCGGAAACTCTGAAACAATTCACTGAGTATTAAGGTATAATTAAGTTAACATTTGTACCAACTGGAAATTATCCTGTTTTACATAAATTTAGATAAAATAATAATGTAGAAAAATACGAGGAAAGGATCAGAATGTAGGGCAATGACAGAAAAACTGTGATTCAAGGAAGAGGAGTAGTAAAATAACAATTCATTGGTACTAGTTGTTTTTAAGTTTCATACATTTCTAAAATGATAATGTTTTTTAAAACTTGCTATTCAGTCTCTTTAATCGCAACTTAATTTTGCCTGCCTTAATTAAGAACTGCTATATTTCTTTATGTGTATGATCTTAATTGTGCCTGATTGAGTGTAAGAATCACTTGGGATTAGGAAAAAAGTCAAGATTTTGAGGCCTGTTCTTCAGAAGTACTACTTCAGGGTTGGACTCCTGATTTCTGTATTTTTCCTCCATGTTTTATAGCATTTTAAAAATGAAACATTTTAAAAGTAGTAATATTTAAAATACATGTCTTGGATTCAGCAGTTACTATTTGCTGCTTTTGTGCTGTGCTGCACAGTTTGCCGAGGTCAAAAGCTAAAAAGATGTTGGATGGATGGATGGATGGATGGATGGATGGATGGATGGATGGATAGACAGGTGGATGGGTGGATGGATGAATGGATGGATGGATGGATGGCTGGCTGGATGGATGGATGGATGGATGGATGGGTGGACAGGTGGACGGGTGGATGGATGGATGGATGGATGGATGGATGGATGGATGGGTGGATGGGTGGATGGATGCATGGATGAGTAAATGGATAATTGCCAGTTTTTCAATAAGGCACTTCAAAACTATTCTTACTAGTTCTTTGATGATTTGCGATCTCAGGTTTACAAAAAGGAACAACAGACCTTTAATTAGAAGATCAGAGCTAGCATATAGCTGCCAAATTGCATTACTTACTTTGAAATGATGTCACACACATAAATATGCATATTTAAATATATATGTATGCTTTAAAAACTAATAATGTGTATCACCACTGTTTCCATTCCTATGAGAACTGTGACATTGGGATGGATGTAGATCTTTTCGAAAGCCCCTGCTCAACCTTGGTCCCTATATAGGTTGTCCCTTATGTAGAGCCATTTTCCGGATATTTTTTTATTAATTACTTAGCATTTTCTTAACGTTGTCCTCCAGGTATGTATTTGTTGGTGTATTTTAAGATTTTCAATTGAACGTTCCAAAATGGAATCATACTATAAAAGAGGTCTGATTAACAAGTGCTTATTTCAAATTTAAAAATTTATGATATAAAAAACATAGTCCCATTAATAATCCTCAAAATAATTCCCCTTTCTTTGAGCTCATTTATTTCCATCATTCTTGCTACTTTCAAAAACAATTCTGAAAGTCCTCTCTTGTAGCTTTAGCTGGGCTGTGTGGCTACCTTGATGTCCCAAATCAATTCAAACACTTGCCATTCATAGTCATTTTGACTGAGGATGAGCCAAAAATCTGAGGGTGCCAGATCTGAGGAATAATCCACTAGACGGCACTCAGTGGCAGATTCACCTGTATGTTGTTAATCACACCTTGTAAAGACACTCATGAAAGAGGACTTCCAGACCTGCGTTAGAAGGTGCAAGAATGATTCAATGTGTATTTGAAGTGAGGGGTGAAAGTTGTGAGAGAGATTTATGGCAATATATCTTTTACTATAATAATTTTTAAAATTAAAAACACACCAGGAGAGAGCTCCAGTCTGAGTCATTTACAGGTCTCCCCAGGAGTGCTGCTGCCACCCCTCGCGGCTTCTTGCTTTCGCTCCTGCTCTCAGGGTCCAGCCTAGTCAGATCTCACTACTGTTCTGGATGAAACCTTCCAAAGACCCCCTAGCCCATCCTTCACATCTGTAATCATACCTAGTATCATATCTAGTGGGAATTCAGCACATATTTACAGAATTAATGAGGTGGTGGATGGAAGGACTGGTGCCTAAAGAAGTGTCAGAACCTGCCTTATGTGTTACTAAGTCATAATACTACTTATATGTACACACATATCTTAAGGCATTAAAATATTTTCTTTCTTGCAGGATAATTGGATTCTTCAAAATGTCAGGTATATTTTTGTGAATAAATGTAAAAGTGCTTCATTTTCAAATATGAATTGTGTGTTTTTTTTCCTTAAAAACATAATTCTTTTCATTTTAAAGTTTGATGTTGTTTAGTATTTGTATATATGTATATCTCAGTGTATATATTTATCTATGTAGTGTGTCTTTCTGTTTTTATTTGTCAAAATTACTAACAAACCTCTCTTGGCACCTACCTTCTGAGCAATCCTTAAAGTAAGCGAGGGAAATCAGGTAAAGGAAAGGTAAAGATCAGGAAGGAGGTCTGCAAAGAGGTGGTGGGAGTGCCGAGCTGCAGGGACATCTCGCCTTTCATAGGAGAGAGCAGACCCTGCGCTTCTTAGTAGCCTGTATAAAGTGAGAAGCTGGGACTGGGGAGATAGCTCAGTGGAATAAGCACTTCCCTGGCAGGCTCAAGGGCCTGAGTTCAATCCCTGGTTCTGCAAAAAAAAAAAAAAAAAAAGTGAGAAGCTGTAGAGTCATGGAGTTTAAATTATCTCTGAGATAAAAGTCAGCCCATTGTTAGGTTCAGAATTTTTTCTTACTGAAGTTCAGGGAGGAGTTTGTCTAATCATACCCACAGGACAGGGTTCAGTTCCTCCCTCATACAGTTCTATGGCAAGACTATTTTAGGAAGAATAGAGGAAGCAAGCAAACAAGTCGCTGCACAGGCAGGACGGGCAGTGTGTCTCAGGTGCGACACCACCACCCGTTTTCAACTGCTGAGTGTGGTCTTCTACTTGGAATTGATTTATACGGCAACTTTCAAAGAGGGTCAGGAAAAACCAAGTTCACTCTGCATTTGCCATTTTCTCAAATGATAGGAGAAAGAATTTTCACTGTCATGGGAGCCAATTTACCATGTAGATAGAGGGCAAAATCAGGTCAGCTGATTTTTCTACCAGTGGTATAAAAATATACCACTTTTTGATACCAGTTTTTATACCAGTGGTTTAAAAACTTACTGCTGTACTCACAAGCACAATGTAACTCTTCTGTGTTATTTTAATCAAGGCTTGACTTAAAATTATTGAAATTTCCTAATCTATATGTAATGTATGATAAACAATAGATTTTCATAAGAAATGAGTGTCTTTTATATTGAATATATTCCCTGATGAATATATCATGCTGTACGATCATGTTATCATTTTCTTGTAAATCATGTATATATTATATATATATATATATATATATATATATATATTTTTTCCCTCAAGCTGTACTACCCACAGCCCCTGAGCAGCCTGCGGATGAAATGGAAAATCAAACCAAAACACCAGATGCAAGGCCTGATGCCCCTCACTACAATTTGCATGTTGCTCCAGGTAGGATGAATATACTGAAAGGTTCTTTCTTCACTCCAAAGAGCTGCAGTAATAGTTAAAATTGATTTTTAAATAAACCAATTACTGGATTGATTCAATAAACAGCTATTGAATGTGGATAGGGTGCCAAATCACAGTTCACCAAAAAACTGCATATATCAGGAAAAGAAAAACTTGCATAAAAGTTTTAACACTAAATTTTTGCGATGAGATTAGGAGTTATCCCTGCCCTCTGTAATTGCAAGAGGGGCACGGAGTGGAGGCTGTTATCTTCCAGACATTTATTAGTCAGTGCTGAAGTGGGTGTACTTGACCTTGGTAGACTCTGTAGTTTACAGTCTGGCAGTTGAAGCATATTCCTCTCTTCACAGGATGTACCAGCTAGTGAGGAAGGAAGCTGTATAAACACTTACAGCATTTTGAACATTCTGTTATAGATGTATAAAGAGAATGATATAGGAACATGGGACATGGATTCTGACTCTAAGATTTGTGGAAAGCGCTGAGAAAATCAAGCTTTGCTGTCGTGACAGTGGAGTTAGGCTCTGAAGGGACTTAAGAAACCCAAGTGTACACAGGAGGATGGCAAAGAGTCCTGTTCTCCACAGGCTTTAAGTAGCTGCTTCCCTGTGGTGGTTCCTGCAAGTGGCAGAGCTTCCTCTCTCCCTTTTCCTCATGATATTCATGTTTGTATGTAAGGTCTATTGAACAGCTTAATGCTTCAACTTCTACATACAGGTATCGACAATACAAGTACTGACCATCTCAAATTGTAAATAAGCTATCTGACCATTTCTTTGTGTATTTTAATAACTCTGTATTTTATTTTAGTGACTCTCAACATGCTTCATATGATTTATATATCAAGGAATATCTATATTGATTGATCAGTGTTTATCCAAGAACCTCGATTCTGCTAGAACTGAAACTACTCCCTTTCTAGGAAGCAAGCACTGGTTATAAATCATGTTCTGCTCATTTGGAAAAATGCCAATTTTGTCTATATGAGAAAATTAACCTCAAAAGAGTAGGAGACATTCTTCAAATTAGATGAACATATAAGTTTAAAAAATATGGCACAGAGCATACAACTGGTAAAATTTGTTATAAAAACATAATAAAATTTCACTATGATCGCCCTCCAGTGGCTGGACAGTATACTTATGACAAATTGTATTATAATTCAAAATTAGAAATTTCAATATTTGGCTTTAAATAAACTTATTGAAACTTAATTATATAATTTTCATTTTCATTATAGTACTGCTTATGTGTTCCCACAAAAATAAAATTGTACATTATTCTCGTGCAAAACAAAGTCAAAAGAAACCATTGTTGTATGTAGTCTATTTAAAATGAAACTGGCTTTTTTTTTTTTTTAAATCAAAGCAAATGGTAGTAGTCAAAATAAGAAAAGGCAAATCTCATAAGACACTTTCTCACCCTAGTAAAAGATAGGTCAGTGTGTTGTAACACATTGTACTTTATGTGATGGTTAGTATCCAAACACAAAGTCAGATATATTTTGTTTTGCTTTGCTTTGTTTTTCTACAGAACCAATGAGAACGCTTCAGGGTAATATCAAAGTTCAGAAGGAAGCATCACATACCAACTTTCCACATACAACTTCATCGTATTTTTTCACTGCTCTTAATATGAGATGATACATATTTATTTTAAAAAAACAGTCATTCATAGGGATCAGCCAGATAGCTCAGTGGACTAAAGTGCCTACTTAGGCAGATGCAGGGACTAGCATTTGATCCCTGGGGTGCTGAGCTGACTCTGCCACTCGGGTGTGCTGAGACTGTGACTGAGACTGGGGGTGCTGGTAAGCACCTGTAATCCCAGTGCTTGGGAGGCTGAAAACAGGAGGATTGCTACAAGTCCGATCCATGTAGTGAGACCCTGTAGACCCTGTACTAAATACATAAAAAAGTCATTCATTACATAAAGTTGTGTGTTTCTTATTCTATGTTTGTAGTACATGATGATAATATCTATTGAGAGGGCTTGATACATGGTATATCTTAATTCTTTTTATATTCCCTTCATTCTTCTCTTCTTTTACCCCTTGGTACATTTCCCATTTGCAAAATTTCTATCTCCCTGCTTGGGAGATAGAAATACCTTATTGTTGGCATTTATTTCTTTTTTAAATTTTTTTAAAGAAAGTTCAGAATAGTATTAAAACAGAGAAGTTAAAATGACACAGGATTTCACTTACCAAAATAAATATGAATTTCACAGAATTTGCTTTAACGCATAGCATTGTCTTTCAACTAGTTGTTCGTATTAAAAGCATGCATGTAAAATTGAAAGAAGAAACACAAAA